CGCCACAGAGTGCCCAGTCTTCTTAGTATAAGGTCTTTGTGCGTCATTCCCGCGCCAGCCTCCGCGGCGGGTGGATGCGGGCGGGCGCGGGCGTCTGTTGCCGTTGGGCTGTGGGTTTCCTTTAACCCGTGAATGGACTGGGACTTCCCGAGGTTCATCGACAGGAGCCGAATTTCAGCTCTATTCCAGTTGGGATTTTGAATTGGAAATGAGGAGAGGGAATTTATCTCAAGGGGAGGGGGGGAGGAGAATCTCATATTTTTCCTTGTGGCTGGAAAAATTGAGGGGGAAAAATATTGCTCGCCGCCAGGGGAGTCCATCTCGTTCTATTTGTGGAGCGCTGTTTCTTCTCTCCGTTATTGAGATGGACGGGGCGAGGGAAAACAGATGGCGATTCGGTCGTTTCGTGCGCGATCGCGCGATTTTCGTGTGAGCGATACCATTCATATAATGTATAACTTATTTTTATTTAACTTTGTATAATTTTTTTCCTAGCATGTTTGCGCGCTCCATCTTTTCCGGTGTTTTTTTTTTTTAAATCACCGTTATGTTTGTTCTTTTCCATCACGCAAACGGGAAAATATCGTCGATCCGGTTATGGAAATTGATTAATAACCGGTTCCACCTCGATCGGCACCGGAGAAAGCGAATAAGAATCTGCACGAGGTCGGAGGAATCCTTCCGACTTTCGCGAGGGAGACGCAAGAATCTGCGACGCTGTGGGGCTAGAAAGGAAGCAGAGGAGGATTCTCGGGGTTCCCCGTTACTTTCACTTCGTGATCGGACTGGATACGACGCACGAGGCTGGTCGGGCGCCCGACCCCGGCCCTCCCTGTTTTTCGTTCATCGTGTGTGCGTCCCGGTGGGATAGGGTGGAGGGTGGGGGGTGGGGGGTGGAGTCTGTTTGTGTTCGGTCTTGGACATTCGTGCTGGATGCGTCGGTGTGGATGCGTGGGTGAGGATGCGGGGATGCCTGCGTGGATCGGTCGGGACGAGGAGGCGTCGAGGTGCTCTTCCGATGTGGATCGAGGGGTCTTAACAGTCATTTTAGGTCTAGAGGATAGAGTGGAGGGCGAGGCGGGGAAACCCGAACATCCGAAGGTGGAGGCGACCGCACGAGCCATACGGTCGAGGCGACCGCCGTGATGCGTGTTCGACTCGACCTTAAGGTGGTCGAGTTTCCCCTCCGTAGATCTAAGGATGAAAATTTTTTCACTGGATTTACCTGAAGCGATTCGTGTTTGGATTCGGGGGTCGGTCTCTTGCTCGCGCTCCTGGGCCGGCGCGGGAGGGGCACGGAACGCTTCCTTCACCTTTATTCCGAGCCCGGAAATTTCTCTTCGGACGGACTCGGAAGTCCTCATCTGCGATCGACGCGGTATCAGAGCCGCGTCGATCGCACGAGATCCCGCATTCTCCAAATTCCGAGATTCCTTCTGCAGAAACTTGGCACTCGGGAAAAATGAAATCGTCGAAATGCGCCGATTGTTATCGATCGAGGAACTGCCAAATGAGCAGTTCCTTGGCTCGACGCATGCAAGGAAGAACGAGCAATTATTACGAGCAATTAATGAACGAGCAATTAATGCCGTTAAATGGTCGTGCGACCATTTAACGGCATTAACCCGATCCGATTTTTTTTTCCCAGCTTGAATCCCGATCGCCGTGGATAAAATTCGCCGGGATTTCTAATCCATCCCAGAATAACCGGCAGAATGCACTGCGAATCTTATTTGATGGGTACAAATAGGTATTTTGACCGGTTTCTGTACGTTCTTGCTCACCAGCGGTAACTCCGATAGTATAGTAATAAATGCGCATCGAGATCCACCGGCCGATCACGTGGCCGAATTCTTTTTTTGTGGGGCTTCGGGTCTGAGGATTCGCTTGGAAGTGCAAAGATCGCGGCCGCGAATGTGGAAAAAAGGAAGAAAATGCAGAAATTTGGGGAAATATGATATCCAGCGGAGAAAGTAGAACGGCGTTCCCGTTCCCGAGGGAACGGGAACGGCGTTCCCGATTTCCTTAATGGAAGTCGCGAATTGTTGCCTATGGGAGCTCCTGCAAAATTAGGGCATTCTGCCCTGAGTACCACCATGAACGGCGTTCCCATTCCACTTTCATCGCTGATGAAAGCGCTGTTGACGGCGCTGATGACTTTCGTCGGTGACGAGAGCCGCGTTCCCGCCGAGCCAGTTCCTTCACCTTTCGCTTCCGATTGCTTTCTGCACTTTCTCCGCTCGTGACGCCCGAGTCCCTCCTTTCCTGTGTTTACCTCCACCTCCTCTGCTTCCTATTAGGCTTCCTGCATCCTATTGGGCTTCCTGCATCCTATTGGGCTTCCTGTCTCCTCTGAGAGTGCCCGGTCGGTCTCGGGAGGCCAATTCGCGGCGGGGAAGGAAGCGCATTCGGGAAAATAGGACGCCTTCAGGGGAGAATGAGATGTTTTGAGTGTTCGAATGGTGCGAGGGGAAAATACGAAATAAATGCCTGGGAAGAAGGGCAGAAGTCGGTGATGCTTGACTTCTGCCCTTTTTTCCCTGACGGTCGCGAATGAAGACCTCCAAAGAGCGAATACAGAATCGGAATCGGTTGCCCTTTCCGGCATCCCTGCACGCCATGTGCTCTGCCAGGTGACCACGCGGCGCGTGCTGCAGGCTGTTGTTTTTCAGACTGGACGAAAAAAAAAAGGGGATTTGGTTCTTTCTCGTGGAATTCGAGGGATTCTCTTTCCTGAGGCTGCCGTCTTCTCGTGGAATCGAAGATTCGTTCTTGGGAATGTCCTATGACTACGAGGATCCTTTCTTCGCCGGGAGGAGTGCCTTGGTGACTGGGAGCGGAAAAGGTAGGCCTAGGCTTATGTGCAGATTTGCTATTAATGAGCCACGAGGTGCAGAGGAGGCAAGCATGCACTCTGGCGTGAGAAACGCAGGCCTAAGGAATAAAACTACTGAACTGATTGCTTTCATGTAGAGAGCAAGGCCTAGATATCCATTTGATATGCTTGAATTATGCAAATATGCATGCAATACATGTGTAGAGGGTTGTAGTTCAAATTTGGTCGGCATATATCTATTGTACCTTGCCTTAGAGGCCACAGACAGACAGCCACACAACAAGGCAGACTTTGAAAGGTTTCTAATTGCTGTGAGAAAAACTATGATTATGCTGCACAGAACTGAGTATGGCTTGTGTCCCCTTATCAAACTTTATACTTAAAAGTGCAAGGTTGATGATTGTTGATGGACTTCTGAGTGCTTTCATTTTGCAGTGAGTCAGAGGACCCAATAAATGTTGGCATTGCCTGAGAAATAGGGACTGAATTCCAGTTGCACTGTCTTTCTGATACCAGCCCATGTATCCTGCCCATTGTCAATTCTTGTTTCGAAGTTCAAGGTTTTATGTGAATCATAATTCTTACCTTTTCCATGCATTATACACCACAATTCTGGAACAAGTCATATTTCATTCCCCTTCCATATGGTAAAGAACAGGTTTTGGAATAAATTGTATGGTCATCTTTACAAATTTGAAGAACCTGCATTATTTCGGAGAAGTTCTGTTACCATATTTAAAGTGTGACTCAAGAATAATGTTCCCTTTTTTCTTTGAAAAGTGTATATATTTTTTTGTTAACAGTGAGCCTACAGTGAAAAGGGAGTACATGAAGAAATATGATTGAGTTTCATTTGGGCCTGTGTCCTAGTATGCTTTACCATTTGCTCGACTTCATTGTGTATCTTTGTTTTGTGTATCTGTAGAGGTCATAATAAGAAGCGGCATACATCAGAATTTTAGGCCTGTTATGCCAGAATCAGTAGAATCAATTACTCCCATAATAAAATTCTCCTGTGTGGAACTAGTATGATGGTCATTATCTTATAAAGCTGAGCAAAGAAGCAGCTGTCAAATTGGACTTCGAGGTTTTTTCTTTTTTTTAGGAATTGGGAGAGCAATTACAAAGCAGTTGCATATTCTTGGTGCCCAAGTCTATGCCATTTCTCGGACACAGTCAGACTTGGAGAGCTTGGCTTCAGAGTGCCCTGGGATTCTGACATACTGCCTTGATTTGAGCGATTGGAAAAAGACAGAGGATGTCGTGAAAACACTACCACCCTTGGATTGTTTGGTGAACAATGCTGGTGTGACCAGTTTGGAATCATTCCTTGAGACCAAGGCTGAGTCTTTTGAACGGTTAGATGCTTTGCTCCTGGTCTTCTGTGGACAAAGTTATTGGTATCTGCTCTAATTCTGCAAAAATGCACCATAAATTTTATCAAGTCATCTTTCTAGGGGAAAAAAATGAAGCCACTTCTAATTGTTGTGTAGGCTCTTGTCACTTTTATTTTTTTTCACTTCATAAAGAAGTTACCCCTAAATTATTTTCCCTCAAAGTGTTGTGCTGAATGTAAGAGATTTTTGCATGTGGACTCACATAGGTTAGTTGCACGTCATTTCTTTTCAGGGCAAAGCTTAGGTAATGAACAACCTTTGAAATACGCATGTAACTGATGGGCCTTTGTAATATCAACAGTGGTGGTAGCCCTGTTGCCTCCTCTTGATCTTCCTCCATATGTGTTCTTCTGCCTGACTCACTCATCTTGGACTCATTTTCTGTTTCAAACTGTACCAATGCACAGTAAATCTAATGCTGGCAAGAAGAGCCATATTTGGATCAGGCTTCTTCAGCTCTTCAGTATTGCATGAAATTCTGTGTGAATCATGAATATAATCTTGATGTTTTTTTTTTGCAATTGAATTTTCAGGTAGACCAGAAATGAATTTGTTACCAAATTGATTTGTATGAAATCTCTGAAGCATTAAATGCATTTCAAATGCAGCATATTGAAAGAAAATTTTACTCTTGGTGTGTCTGTCAGTACATCATTTGGATCCATCACTTTTTTTTTTCGGCTAAAGTTCTTCATGATTGGGCTCAGTTGAAACCAGATCAGAAAATGATAAATTGCAGCTCAAATTAGAGGTGGTTATTTCAAAATTCTTTAAACCAAGTCACGGATCTTTTCTGGGTGTTAATTCAACTGAAGTGCAATTTTCTCATCACCTCATATCATATCATCATAGCTTCATCATTTTGTGGATGCAATCCTTTTTTATGCCAAAGTGTTTTTGATTTGTTCTAATTTTTATTTCAGTGTGATGAAGACAAATGTGCAGAGCGTTCTCAATGTATCTCAGGTTGTTGCAAAACACATGATCAAGCGAGGGGCACATGGTTCCATTGTGAATGTGTCATCTGTGGCATCGACAAGGGCATTGAACCTTCATACCTCATATTGTGCCTCCAAGGCAGCCCTAGACAGCCTGACACGGTCAATGGCTCTTGAACTTGGACCTCACAAGGTGAGAATTTTTAATTGAACATGTTTTCTATTATTTGTTCTGAGTGAGTGATTGCATGAGTGGCAAACAGGCTAGGAAAACCCTCGCAAACCTGCGATTGAGGTTCGCTGGAATGGAGACATCTGGGCGGGCAGCTCACTTAGTCCACTTGCATGTTCTTCCCAGGAAATTCCAATTTGTCACCTCAGGTTCATGGGAAAAAAAAAGAAAAAGTTTTTCCTACACTGGTGGTAAATGAAGAACAAGGAGAGTTAGGAATACAATGACAATTGTTTGATTAGTGACTGCATCAAAAATATCAGCTAGTATCAAATGTCAAATTTCATTTTCATTTATTGAATATTAGAGGAGATACACATGTTAAAATGTGTCCAGTGACATGAAAGATTCTGTTCATCTCTGTTGACGTGTAGTGGTCTTCCTGCATGAAAATGGATATCTGTAGGAAGCTGAGAAAGATTCATTTTTAGGAGCGAGACAAGGGGCATTCCTTGATAAATCACCCAAGCCAACCTACATTCCAACACCACACTCTCACGGATGTACTCTTGTCTTTCTAGCATGCTGAGCCTCTTGGGAGAGAAATGTCAGCATGAAAAATTCAAGGGCAATCATGATACTTGTTTTTGGAGTCATGACCCAGGCAAATTTGGGGTCAGCCTGTGCCTGTGACATTTTTGAAAAGTCAGTCTCCCTTAGTATTATTGTGGACAGACAAATGAGATGCTGTATTGAAACAGTATTGGCCAGAGAACCAAAAAATATCATTAGGGTAACTGTTAATTTCATAGGAAAGAAGTTATTCACATTTGATGTTTTCATTTGAAGCCATGACCTCTGGGAACCCCTCAAATTAAGGTTTTTCTTCTGCAAATTTTGGCTACATAATTCGTTTTTCTAGAGTTGTACCTTAAACTATGTTTTTCAGGAGGCTTATTAGTGAAAAATGAAGTTTCCCCCCTCACTCACAGATATCTCTGAATTTCCAGATAAATTATTTTTCACGAATAAGGAAAATGAAGTGCACATTTCCTAGGTTCTATAAACCTCCTTGAAGCATCTGCTTCAAGGAGGTCTGTTGAAGAATGCGAAACCATGATTGTTTCATATTATGAGGAAGAAGAAAAACCATGAAAATCACTTTGCAATTCATCAATCCCTCCCTTCTATATTTGTTACTTGTTAATGAATATTCCCCTTATTGGAAGGATTGAAGGCAACTTATGAACTTTGCCAAAGAAGACCTTGATAATGATTCTCCCTGGCACATGAAATGAGACAGCCCAAAATGTGCTCAGAGATGCTAAGAGAGTGAAAATGCTTATCTCATAGTTGTCTCATCCTCTTTGTAGCTAGTCATCATTGCTGCATTTGTTATGCAGCAATGACAAAACATGGCATTTTTTCTTTCATGACAAAAGTCATACTTTCACATGCATGAGGACAAATTCAATAGCGGTTAATAAGACTCACTCGGGGCTAATTGATACAGGATGTGTTTCTTGAATTTGGATATGAAATTGGCATGTTGAGGTGTCTTTAGCCCTTTGTGACCTGAATTAAGGTCACAATCGGGATACTATTCTTTTTGCATTTTTGAGCCATTTTACTATTGTACTTTGAATTTCTATGTCCTATATATCTTTTTTATATTTTGTATAAATTTACCACATCATACCATATTTTATGTAATATACATGTAATTAAATAACTGAAGATGACTAAACTGATGGGTGAAAGAAGGCCTCTGATGGAATTTAGACATGCATAATTGCACGCATTGTAGAGTAATATAGGGCGCAAAGTCACGAGAATCCCAAGAAATTACCCATAGATGCCAGGTCTGAAAGGGTTAAGTACATATTTGTTGTTCGTCCATTTGTGGAGACATTGAGAAATAGTGTGTTTGTGATGTTCCTTGACTTCTACAATTTTGATGAGTTCCTTCCTGATCATATTAACAGGCAGGAAAGACAGAGTGTCTGTATTTTGAATAATTAATTTTGATGCCTAAAAAGGAAACAAGTTGGACAAACCCAGGTCTGCTGTGAACCTCCTTTAATTATACTTCGATTTGTGATTGAGGCAACGTGATGAGAATTAATTAATAATTTAATACCTTTTTTTCATGAGTTTGATTTTTATGACATTTGTGATGTTAAAGAATCAAATTTCAGCCATACACATGCTCATGGAAAAACAAATCTGACACTTGTCCATGTATGCCCATCATGCTTTTACATTGGTGCCCCTTTGCACTCTGGCATATGAATTCCATCTCAACTCTTGCCGAATGTGAGAACTCACAGAAAGTGGCTTCAAAATGCCAATCATGCATTGGCATTGGAGTTTGAGATGTACAATTTTATATAAAATTTTTAACCAGGTAAGGAAATGGCAATCCATTGAATATTGTTTTCTCCCATCAGTGAGGCAGTGGGAAACAGGAAGAGAATAGAAAAGAAGTACACAAAAACTTGACGTGGGTGCACATTTTTAAATTTGGATTCGAATGTGAATTAGTTGACTTTTAAAAAAATGTGACACTTTCTACTTTAAGTAGAAAGTGTCTCAAGACATGGGCATAGAACACCAGTTCAGTCTCCATTTAGTCAGGAATTATTATAGAAATTGTTTGATCTGGATGTAACAGGTACTAAATCAAGGTCTGAACCAAGAATTTTCAATCAAAATCAAAACTGTTAGTTAGTGGTTGGTTAAGCATATTTTCAACCAAAACCAACACCAAGACAGTTGTGGTTTGCCAAAGGAGTTGGAAGTTTTGTGACCAAAAGCCAATCAGTGCCATTGTCACGAATTCCAACATGATTATACCAAAGTTAATGGGCAGGGTATTAACCAGAAACTGATTTCAGATATTTGGTTACTAGATTCAAGTGTGTAGCCACATAGGCAGCAGATAAGAAGCCCAATTTTCCATGGGGTCTCCATGGAAATTTTGTTGGGGAATGCCTGAGGAAGAACATGTCTTTGAAGTAAGTGGCATGTTTATCTGGCTCATGAATTCGCATCACTTTCTCTCTCACTTATTCAGCAAATTAAGCAATCCATTGACTCTGGCTTTCCATATTACATTGGTAATATCACTTGAATCACTCACCTCCCTGCAGTTGTCATGTATGGTTGACTTGGGATATGAATACCATTTCACATCAAAATACCCAAGACACTCTTGAGTGTCATTCCTAAGCACAACTTGACAAGCTCTTGTTTAACCATTTTTTTACTGCTTGTCAGGAAGTTTCTATCAATTATAACAACTTAAACTGGAGCTGTAGCCAAAGCATGAACAACAGTGAACGTGGAAGTGACCCTTTGAAAATAGTCATGTGGGGGGGGTGAGGAGTGTGAGAATTGTTGGTTGTTGCTCATGATCAAAGCAATTGAAAGGTCCACTATCAGGGATGTCTGCTTACTCAATTAACTCTGCTCCTCTTTGAGAACTTGTAAAGAATGGCACCTTAGGAGCCATTTGACTTAGAATTAAGGCAAGTAATAACATAAATTAGAGGTTTGCACTCACCTCATATATCCGAAGCCAACACTGTGTATTATGATCTCTCGTGTATATACTCTCATCAGTGGGGAAAGCTGTTATTTGGGTTTGTAATGGTCAGTTTGATGATTCAAAGTAAATATTTTGTCAATTTCCTGCTGTTACCATGCTGCTGTTTCATCTGCAGCCATGCAAAGTTAGGAATATCTTTTTAGGTCGCATGGTATGTCCCAGGAAAAATTTATCTTTGGTGTGAAAATTTTACTTTTTAGTTGAGTTTAGATATTTCAGAAATGAATTGGAAAGTGAAACCTTTGCCCTTAACTTTCAATTGCTACCTAAGTGTTTACTGTAAAGCACATTGGTCCACAATCACTACAGATTGGAGTCCTCTGGAATTTGAACCCCACATATCTTAGAAATGGAATGACCTGCAGAGTGATGGAATTTGTAGATCATGATGCCCAAGTGGACCTATGCAAAGTTTTCTAATTTTCAAGATCTAGTGACAAGGGAAGAAAGACTCAGGAAGGGGTGTGGCATCTTAGCTGACCTCTCTGTGCTACCTTTTCTATGGATGGTTATGGCAGCAAAGTTCCATTAATAATTTATTTTCTTCTCTAGATTGTTTTTCATTGCCCAATAACTAAGTCTATTAGAGCCATGGAGTGCAGGAGAAGAATCTCAAATAACTCCTGCTGAGTATCATTCTGAACAAAAGAATGGACTTGAATGGATGCATCCATTCAAATTTGCTTTTGTTTTTCATTTAATGTGTCCACAGCCAACTAATTAGAATTGATAATCTTTGTGAGTTCTGATTTTTCTTTCATTTGGAGCAATTTGGCTCTCATTTACAATGACAAAAGTTTTGTTTGCATACACCTAAAACTCATGCTCAACATATCTGGGTGATTGCACACTATGCCTTTTTGTTGCTGAGAAAACTTAAAAAAAAAAACAGACAGCTCACCTAGCTCTTCTTGTGAATCTTTTGTTACTATTAAATGGGCTCACTTAGGATGAATCTAACATCAAGTGCAATGGCTGCTCCCTGGTAGTTTTTGTGGGTCTCCTGGCTTCAGTGCTATGTGTACTACCATGCAAACATCTTGCATGGTAGCACGTAAATGAGAACAGTCAGGGAGCAGCCATTTCATGTGATACTAATTTCATCCCAAGTTAGCACATTCTACAGTATTGTTCTGGATGGTGCCTCTGTGACAGCCTTTGTGTGTTAAAGATACCCATGATGTTGAAAATGTCTTCTGGGGAAACTGTTACTGGCTAAATCATATTTCCTCCTTAGGTAAGGGGTAATTTACCTTGCTGAGATGTCATGTATAAGCCTATGTACTTTAAACCTAATCATTCAAGGGGAGATATGAATGGCCAATATAATCCCCTCTAACTCACATGCCTTCAACTCAGTCTTGCATCCCTCTTTGTTCTGCTGGATGAATGTCTTCATAGGTGAGATATATGGAGATTTAATGGAGATCTGAATTAAAAGCAGAAGGGAATATTTTCTGTAGATTCGGGTGAACAGCGTAAATCCTACCGTTGTGATGACGGACATGGGGAAGTTGGCATGGTCTGACCCTGACAAGTCTGAACCCATCCTCAATCGCATCCCTCTTGGAAAATTTGTTGGTGAGTCAGTCAAAACCAGGTTCACTTGAAACTGGAAATGGAATCCAACGCTCATCATTTCAGCATTGATTTTGCCAACTTCTTTTTTTATACTGGACCCTCCTTGTATGTAGGCATCTTTTGGAAGCCTCTATACAATATCTGTTGTCATGAATGCACCTAACTGTATGAAGAACTGTCTCAAGTAGATTATTCAGGAAAGCAATGGAGGATAAGAAATCTTGAATTGTTAATGGATGCATTCACAAAATGTTCAATTCCTGTATGGTATGGGTATACAGAGTATAGTGACAAAGTTTTCAAAAACATTCTTGGTGAAAAACCATTGATTTGGTAAAATTGCATTGGGAAATTTCCCATCCAATCTGGAGTCACCTTAGAGTTTGGCATGCTTCGTTACTATAGCCCAATCTTTTTCCTTTGATGTAAAATGCCTTTCATTGCGCCCAAGTGGCAACAACTGCACTTAGCCATTCCATGTAACAAGTACATGCTGTGACCTGTATTAATTGCTGCTGGATAAAAAGCTTCCTCTTCCAGCCCACTTCCAACCTTGTATAGATTTTCACTTTGCATACAATGCTATTGTTCATCCTTGTAGTGCTAAACTTAAATGAGCTAGGAAGTGTAGAAGAGCTGTAAAAATGCTTTGATGGATGGATTGGATGTTTTGCAGAGGTGGAGGATGTGGTGAATGCAATCCTCTTTCTTCTATCTGATCGCTCCTCCATGATCAATGGAGTTCATCTGCCCATTGAGGGAGGTCTTTTTGTTTCCTGATTCCTTTTTTTCCTTTGTGGCATGGTTTAGAATTTTTCCTGCATGTTGCTTGTTGTTTTTCTTTTTTCATAAAACCTTGTCTGTTGCTGATGAAGCCTGAAATTGAATATGCCTTAGTTTGAATTTACTAATTTGAAGATTGTTCTATCAGAATTTGGTATATTCCATCCTGAGTTTTGATAATATGCTGATAGTCCAGTGAAAGATCTTGTGTTGTCTCTATAAAGTTTCAGGAAACACCTGAAGTGTGCTTCACACCCCATGAAGTGTATTGTACTCTAGATGGAAACTTACAGAAACCTCTGTAAACCTTAGAGGGAACATTCTTGTCTTCCATAATCATGAAGGGGAGAGAATTATCTGCAAGACTTACTCTGAGCATTATGTTGCACCTCATTCAGTAATTTGATAATAGGTCGACCAAGGAAGAGATGTAAGGACTGATTCGTATTCACTCTTCATTTCTTTTGAAATATTTGTGCCCCATGGCCTTAGTCAGAAATTCAAACTGGAGTAGCCTTGGCAATTGCCAAAGGTGCTCAGGTAAATAAGAAATCACCAGGAATATGTATTATTATGCCAGGAATATGTATATATGTATTACCTGACTTCATCCACCCCTAATCGGTTATTTATATGGGATGAATGTATACAAAGTCTGGAAAGGCTTTTCCAAAAATTTCAACTTTCCTGATTAGTCAGATGAGTTCTTTGCATAACCTGGGTAGAATAAGGAATATCCAGTTTCGGGCCTTTTAGGAAACACATCTTTTGTTTTTGTTGGAGTTGAAGGTTGGTTTTCTGAGCTTCCTGTGACCTTGTTCTAGTGTTCTTCAAGAGAATGAATTTTATTTTGTGTGTATTTTATATCACTTTCAGCTTCATTATTTATTTTCTCCCATTGTTCCCCATTGCACTGAACAAACTAGACTCGTATATCACAGAAATCGGCTAAGCTCCATTGGCATAGCCATAGTCAAGGACTGGCTTCAAAAATATTTTTTTTCCCCCTCTATGTCAGGTTCTGGCATGTTATATTAATTTATATCGAGTCTCAAAATATTGCAATCACTCTTTTAAAGTGGGACTGAATGCCTTAGGATCCTGGTAACCATCTGGAATGAACTCTTGTCAGCCCCAATATTAAGCTCTACAATGTCACGTAAAATTTTTGTCTAGATCCTTGGTAGTAGCTCTTGGCTTAAGTTTGGCGTAGCAGTTCTCCCAGGGAATTTCCAAGATCGCACCTCATGCACCCGTTACTGGGGGCCTTGGCTTTTTGCCAAGGTGAGATTCTCGTTACCATAGAATTGAGTCGTCATGCAATCCCAGTCATGGGAGAAAATTCCCCTTCCTCCGGCAGTGGTGCTCAATCATGAAGAATCTGGTTTTCCACTGTGCTCACATGCAAGCGAGAAGGATCTTCTGAGTGTTTTCCCCCTTCAGTGAAGGTTTCTCTCCCGTTTTCACTGGTTTCACTCCAGTTTCACAGTTTTCGCTTCCCTTCTCATCGGCTTATCAGGAGACGGAAGTTTTTTTCACGTTCTGCCGTCTGAGTCGCTGCTGGTTCGGATTCTCTTCTCTTTCACTTGCAGCAAGGAAGAGTTATCCGGGTCCTAGAAAGAATACGTATATTATAATGAATTTATTATTTAGCCATTGCAATAATTGCATCCCGATATCAGGTATGGTATTGACAGATTGTTCAAATCTTGTATTGATGTCATTGAGATTACTCAAGTCTTTTCATTATAGCATAACAGCACAAATACACTCCAAAATCTCCATAAATATTCCTCGGGAACAAGTGAGGAGGCCCATAGTTGACTTCAGCGCCATCTCAGGGTCATTTAAATGTCTGAATAAGGGAATATTTCGTGGATGATTATCTCATTAAATGGGATCCTCGTGCGATATTTCAAGACTCCGTGTCGCGTTAGACATCTCTTTCGCGGTATTGAGGAGCATTCGACGGAAGATGCCGTTATGATGCCTTTAAGATCTTGGGACGAGTCATCCTCTTCGACATCCCTGGGATATCCTCTTCGACATCCCTGGGATGTCGAAGTGCTTTGCGGGGAAGTTCAAAATGACAGGAGAGTATTGTACTGATCTAATAAGGGACGGTGGATGCAAGGGTGATCCTGGAGAAATCTTGGATCTTGGAGAATATTAGCTCATCAGTTTCATTAGCATTCTGAGGGATCGCGAGGTTTTTTTTTTTTTAGGTGGAACTTTCTTTCATCCATGAATATGAGGACAGCTTCAGGAAGCGGCGCCTCCATCTTAACGATTTCCTAGAATTTAGGGTAGCGGAAGAGACGGATGAAACGAACACCAGCGACACGCGCTAGACCGATTGCCAATTGAATTTGCCAATTTCGAGTCGAACTGGCGCCCCAATCAATGCTACGAGCATTTCGATGCGCTAAGTTTCAGCATTTCCTCTGCTCGATATCGAGCAAAATTCTTGGTGAAAATTCTTCAGAGCCCCATTCCCGACGAGCCAACGACATTCCCATGGCCATTCCTCGTTGCTCATTCCGACTGGAAGCGACTCGCGACTCCCATTGTGTCGTCGGACAAAGCAACCATTGTGCCGAGATGAGAAACCAAGGAATGGTCGCAAACGAATCGGGCTGCACGTGCGAAATCGCACCGATAAGTGGTCTCATTTCTCCTCAGTGAAAAGATTTATCATTGAAGAAGTAGCGCATTTCTCAACCGGTATAGTATATATAAAACTCTGCTCTAGTGCTGGATATTCCCTTGTATTATTAATGCTTAATTCCCTGCAAGAAATTACGGATAAAGTGTCCTTAAAGTATATGATCAACTTTTTCTTTTAAACCGAATGTGAAGCAACTTCGTTTCTTATAAATAATAAATAATTTCGAAAGGTTCCTTCCATTTTGGCGCAGCTGATAGCGAATCTATAAGGATTTCGAAGTGCGTTAAACTATTTTTAGGTAATAAAAAAAGAAATATACGGCCAAAAAAGCAAAATCGTAAAATCACAATTTTAATCGAATTATCTATATTTGCTTCTTTGGCATTCACTTGACATCCTCATTCAGCAAATACTTTTCAAGTCGTTCAGTCCTGAGGGTCTGGCCGTAGCACCGTGGGGAATGGCTCGATAATTGACCATCTATTATTATTAATAGATGGTATTTGGTAAATTGAGGCAATCGGGTAGGGTAATTTTCCTAAAACATAAACGGCTCGATATTGCAATTCGAGAAGTCTCGCACGTCTTGGGGAAAGCTAGGAAAAAAAAAAAACAAGTACTTAGTACTCAGTACTGAGTACTTTTATTCGGAATTTCCCACTTTGATCAGGAATTTTAGAGTTTCTTTTTTTTTTTTTCCCCGGGTGAAATTTGTTTTCTTCATCGATAGATTTGGTCTCGGAGAATCGGTGAAAAAAAAAATGNAAAAAAAAAACAAGTACTTAGTACTCAGTACTGAGTACTTTTATTCGGAATTTCCCACTTTGATCAGGAATTTTAGAGTTTCTTTTTTTTTTCCCCGGGTGAAATTTGTTTTCTTCATCGATAGGTTTGGTCTCGGAGAATCGGTGAAAAAAAAAATGGTCATCAATATTTTATTCACGATCATATTAATCGTAGACATTCGTGTTCATCAGTTTGAAAGTACCAAAATAAATATTGTAAGAAGGTGAGGGTCGTGATTCGTGCAGCCGATGTGCAAAATTCCATGTGTGCAAATGACTCTGCTATTAATATATAAAATAATTTATTTAGTATATTCATAGAATACATGTTATAAAACAATGTAAAAATGTAAGGAATAATGAAACGATTAAAATATGGAAGTATATTAAAGAGGAAATAAAATCGACCTGCGCTCGTTTTCTATAAAAGTAACAAGCGACAATGAAGTCAAATTGGTATCATATTCTAGGCTTCACCGATGCAAAATGACAGAGACAGGAGATACTGTTGCAGATTTATTAGCAGGTTTTTTTGCACATTTTTCACGAGGAAGTGAGGAAAAGAGGAATAGAGACCTCGAGAGGGGGGGGGGCGTCGGGTTCGCCGAGGGCGCCCTTTACGCTTTGCGGTTGGAACAATCCGCGAGGTTGAGTGTGGAGGGTTCCGACTCTGATTACACTTGAGTGTTGTCGCGTCTTAATCCAGTAGCATAGCAGAAGTCGCATTTCTCGGAGGGCCGATGAATCGAGGTGGAACGAGTCCGTCGACTAGATTCTGGTTAATACGATCTTTTTTTTTTCAGAGGTATTATTAGATTTTGAAGACGCGAGTGGGAGGGATGCTGGATTCGTGGTCGTTGGCCCTGGGTGGGCTGGTCCTCATCCTCTTCAAGATCTTGCAGTCGCTCCTTTTCAGAAAGAAGAGGTCCGACCGGCCGATATTCTCGTTGGCCGACGTCCTCCCCCCGGCCCCTCACGTGGCCGACCAGAAACTCAGGGACAAGGTCCTCAAGCAAGGTACGCCTGCATCGTTCGTTTGCGTTCTCGCGTGGCGACGCCTCTCTTGATGTCCCTTGTGATATTTCTCGTCGTCTGTCAGGTTTCTCCTCGGATAAAGTACCCCATGACCTCGACGCGATCGTGATCGGGAGTGGGATCGGGGGATTATCTGCAGCCGCTCTCCTCGCCAAGGCCGGGAAGAAAGTCCTCGTCCTCGAACAACACGATCAGGTTCCTGGCTGTCTTGGAGATCGCCATAATGCTAATTTTGCTCATTTTGATCATCTGGGGACTCGTCAGGGGAGGCAAGGGAGGCCCAGCCTCCTCTCAAAAATTCCTAGGAGGCACTTTCCCATCCAACTTTGAAGTATTTATTAAGATGTGAAATACTTTAGAGAAAAATGTGAAAACCATTGGGAGGCCGGAACCCGCAGGCCTCCCCTGGCCCATGGACGATGCATCGGCGTGTCGCTGGCACGCCTCGTGTAGATTGCCGCTCGGCCGTCGGAATTCGCGCTGACAATTCGTGTCCACGCAGTTGGTAAGGACAGAAAATCGGAGGATATATTCGGCACGATCGTGGTATTCGCTAGGTGAGCTAGATGCGATTTTGTCTTAGCGGGTTTCAGAATTTTTTGAGACGTTCTGCTCTATTTGAAAATTCTTCGCGGAGTTGGGGTGGTTTTTTATTTATTTAAAGAGGACTATTGGGTTTTGCTTATTTTATATACATTATTATGTACGCGATATTTCCAGGAAATATCGCCTATTTTCTCTGGAATAAAGCTGCATCATCGGATAGTTCTCTGTTCAAAAATCCATTCTTAGTCTCAATTTTAATATCCCTTCGGTAAGCCCTTTGATAGCACGTAGAAAAAAAATTTAATCGACAAAAATGATGACATATTGTCGGTCACCATGAAAGACACCTGCCTTTTCACGAGAGGAGTCAATATTGTGTATCGCAGCAGGAAGTGCCTTGGGGAATAGAACTTTTTCATCACCCCGCGCGCATCTGTTTCCTGCTGCTGTTAAAATGACCCAGGTTTTTTTTCGGGTTGAGCTTGACGGCACCCAGCGCTAGCGCCTCGCCTGATGTAATGGCTTGTTTTTTTTTTTTGCATGCGAAATGAGCTGAAGGTTGGGGAAACATGTTGGGGAATATGGCTGGAAACATGTCGTCCAGGTTTTTTTTTGTCGTTTCGGCCGAGATTGCCCGCTTCTTTCGTTTCCTCCTCGCTCCGTGTTTCCTTCCTCACTTAATGCTTAATGTTCCCGCCCGTTTGAGGTTTCGCGACCCACGAAAGTCGGCTCATCTCGATTTTGTATCTTCTCCGTGTTGGTGTGCCAGAATTCGAAGGCCTTTATGCCCCATACAAAAACCCTTTATGGATAGATATCGAATAATTTTTTACTTCTTTGACCACGCTGACCTTTTCCCGTGGGTATGCAATCCATCGAGAGAAGAGAGCGATGTTACAATTAGCGCTGGCAATTAACCGTATAGTTCGATCAGCCTATTCGGTCGACCCGGATATTCGAGACCCTTAACAAAAAGTACTCACACGAGTCGAAGCGAAAGGAGACTTGAGCGCAAGATCGCCGGTGACCTTGACCTTCATTCGGCGATGCCCGCGCCGGTTGGGGTGTCCTTGTCGGTGAAGCTTTATCAGACTTTCAGCCTGGTTTTGCAGTCCTGGGAAAACTTGCGAGAGCAGTCAGGCGGGACTAAAGGAACGATACATGACGGTTGAAAATTTGGGAGTTTTTTTTATATTTTTTTTATTTTTTTTTTATTTTTGAGATTACTGATTTTGTAAAGTGAAAAGGTCGACCTATTAGCGCGCAATTACGGGAATCAGGTGCATAGATCAATCTAGTAGTTTTGTTTTATTCCTGATTTTAAAAATTAACTTGCCTTTAAGTGAGTGAAATATGTAGGCGGAGTCTTGAAATCTCCTCTCCAGTTGATCTGGTCTAGACCAGATGTTAATTCCAGTCGATGGCTGTTCTCATGAGGTGAGTTAAAAAAAAAACACTTAAATCTGGAGAGCAATCGGACAAGATCGGGCGATGCAACTGAAATAGTAGGACCCCCGAGATTAGGTCTTGGAATCAAGATTAGGTCTTGGATTAGGTCTTGGATTAGGTCTTGGATTGGGTCTTGGATTAGGTCTTGGATTAGGTCTTGGATTAGGTCTTGGATTAGGTCTTGGATTAGGTCTTGGAAGGGATCTGCCCATGTCCACCCGCGTGTCGGGTGTCTTTGCGAATTCACTCTCCTTCCCCGAGGAAATCAGTCAGTGGAGTAAGTAGTTCCTAAATGGATCATCGAAAGGAGGGAAGACTGGAATTTAGTGGGGTTTAAACCCCATGGGGTTTAAACCCCATGGACACCTGTGTCCCTCACGTGCTCGCCTCGTGTCATTCAGTTGAAGAGGATTGGTTCCGTTTGCTTGGTTTGAAAGGGAATGATGGGCCAAATAAGACGCGGCTCATTCGCTGATTATGTTGATGAATCTTCATTTCATTACTGGCAAAATATAACAGAAGCTTTGGTGGATTAACGTCCACGTTAAAAATGGTGGCATATTGACTGAGACAAAGGGAAAAAATTGTGCATCTGCATATCTCATCGTGTGTCTTGTTTTGCTTCTTGCTCTTAGTTGTGTCTTGTAATTTTGCTTTTGTGTCACAAAGTTGTTTTTTTTTCTTTTGTCCAGGCTGGTGGATCCTGCCATACTTTCATCGAGAAGGGCTACGAGTTTGATATTGGAATCCACTATGTCGGTGGTTTTGGGGAAACGGATTTCAATCGCATTCTGTTCGATCAACTCACCGATGGCCAGCTGGAATTCGTCCTCACAGGTAGAGCCCTCCGATGGCAAATATCATAATTAAGTACCTCGATAAAATGTCACGTGTGAGATGGGATTCCAAGGAGGAAATTGCAAGGACTGAATGCTCGACAGACCCGGTGTACGACGTGGTGAAGCTGCGGTACCATTCCGAGAAGAAGGCTTCCTATGACATCTGCTACCCGAAGGACAGGTGGATCTGCAACCTGAAGAAGCAATTTCCTGGGGAAGAGGAAGCCATCGACAAGTAGGCTCACTGAAAGTTCTAGTACTGGTCTTAATTAATTGACCCACTGTAACTACTGCACAGTAAACCGATCTGCTTTGAAACAGGTTCGTCAGATACATAAGAGAGGCCTCAAAATCGAAAATTGCATTGGGAGTGGTGAAGTTCCTTCCTCTCTGGCTGGCCAAGATTGTCGTCAAGCTTGGCGTCATCGACTGGTTCATCCCTTACAGCAAATGGGCTTCGAGATCCATTCAGAGTGTCCTTGAGGTACACCAGATTCGCACTGTACTTCTGAGCATCAGCTGAGAGTGATATCATAAAGGAACATTAGGTTTTTACCTAAAGACTACAGGTCTTTAGGACACATTTCTCATGGAGTTGTAGGTAGTGTATGCCCTTTACTTTGGTTCCACCATAGTCATTACTTTGCTGGTCAAGTTAATGAAAGTTTTTATTTATGATTTGAGTAGTTAATTATAAAGGACATTTATAGATACCCACATCTTTCTAAGGGATCTTACAATTACTAAGTCATGCAATTTTTTTTCATTTCTTTTAATGAAAGATGGGACATGTGACATACATGCACAACAATGGACATATTTTACGCGACATGGAGAGGATGGGGATGCCCACTTGGCACGAGCACCACAGCTCAATTGCAATCCCATAGGGTGGGACACCCTTCAACAGTCCCATAGGATCACTTAGGGGCAGCTCATGAGTTGCCTATGCCCATGACTTGCACGAGTGATTTTTAAGGTGTACTACACCCATATCTCCTTGACGAGACGCAAAGATTGGCGTGTGTGTCATCCCACACTTAGCAGATGCTCCCCCAGGAAAGCAGGTGGGTAAAAGCATGCAATTCATCCAATGAATGCAGGAAAAATTTTCATAGCTCAAAATCATGGGATCAACAATGAGAAGGCAAACACATTGCGCAATTATTGTCATATGGATTTTCACACTTGTTTTATTGATAAACTTTTCTGTGATAGTATGGAATAACTGGATAAGGTGAGAACTCCTCTCCATGTGAAAACATTGTTAGTTTCCATTCAATAACAAGGGTTGAATGAAAAAGTGAAATCATGGTCATCCTTCAGGAATTGTCAGCCAAGCAGTTCTCAAATGGGAATGGGGTTAAAACTCATAATTAGTTCAGCAAAAAAATGAGAGCTACCAAATTTAACAACAAATTCCTCTTGAGGGTTATCAGGAATTCACACATATTTCACATTTTTAACATCATATTGCTTAGAACATCACAGGAAGGACAGAGTGAAAGAATAGTTAGCAGAGTCAAGAGCAGATTTTCAATTGCGATAAAGTGACTGAGTTGGGGGATGGACCTTCACAAGCATTTCCTGCCCTTCCTTTCAGATTTGGGACATGAAGCCATCATGGGCCATCAATACCCCTTGATAATGTAATAGATGGTTCCTGCATGTGCGATTGTGCATCTCTGTGCATCTGGATTGGAGTGACATGCTGGCTAAATCATTGCTTTCATGACTTGGGGGACAATCAAATTTGATCTTCCTCATCTCAGATTATATGCATATCCTGAAAGTCTGGCATCTGACAGACCTGCCTCATCCAATTTACCTTTTTTTTTAACTTTTTATTGTCATACAGGAAAGCATTAAATTACAATTACTCTGTCATTCTTGTCCTTTTTCGCACATGTCATTTTTCTGCTTGGAAAACTCATGCCTGTGGTCAATATTTTTTGCACATCTTGATTTGAAATAGATGGTTGCCATTGAATCAATGCATTTGCATACAGACCCATGCAAAATGGAATCTCAATGAGATGCCTGTCTCCTGGCATGAGCATGATATTTGGCTGTTCCTTTTCACTTTTCCCATGTCTAACATCCCTTTTTTTTAGTTCCAACTTCCAGCACAACATCTTTAATTTTTCAGTCACTTTTGAAGCTCTCATTCAGCACATACCTTTGAATTTCCCTGTTGCAATTGGCCTCCTCATTTCCATATTTGACTTTGAAAGCCCAGTTTAAAACATGACTTTTATTTATTCCTCCAGGAACTCACAGACAACAAGGACCTAAGAGCTGCCTTCACCTACATATTTGGTGACTTTGGAGCTCTACCCAGTGAAGCTAGTTTCACCCTTCTGGCCCTCCTTCATCAGCACTTTTACAGAGGTTGAATTTTTTTCTCTGTGAAGGGACAGAGATCTCTTTATCTCTATTCCCACTAAGGACCCAGGAGTATTTTAGTGAATTTCATTTTAATCATTTTAGTGTACATCATGTCTTAGAAAAAGCATGCGATAATTATTTCTTTAAATGTCTCCATGTGATATCATGGAAGCCAGAATTTTTGTGCTTTATATCATGATTATTGAGAAACATTTCTGCCAAGTTCTAAATAATTTCAGACTCTATTTCAAAAGCAATATCACTTCAAAGATGAAGTATCTAACTTTGCTGTGAACAAGGAATTTGTTAATAAATCAGTAAAACTAAAGATATGCAGAAAAATCGGGAGAAGTATTGAGGTAAGGGATGATGAGGCAATGCAGAGAAAACTTGGCAAATGCCAGAGGAATTGGGGAAGAGGGCAGTGCCATTGAAGGTGCTTGTTCCCTCTTCTCCTCTCAAGCCACTTCACTATTGGACCTTTGGCATGACTGCATGGCAGTGCCAAGATGGGATCTCAGCTGGCAATTTCATTGAGGTTTTATGATGTTTGATCCATGGAGGTGATTGGGATGCTAACCTTACATCAACTTGATGCATGCATTAGCCTGATGCCTGAAGCTGATACATGCATTGTATGCATGGGCGTTATGGCATTCATGCAGGTGATTGGTCTGATATCAGATATTAGGATGAATCAGGGGCCCACTTTGAATATGAATGACCCTGGAAGAATAAGGATGTATGACTTGGTATGTAGGGTCCTATTACCCTCGAGGAGGTGCATCGGAGGTAGCTTTCCATATCATCCCTGTGATCGAGAAATCGGGAGGGAAAGTCCTTGTACGTGCCAATGTGAAAGAAATCCTCCTGGACGAATCAGCTTCTAGAGCCATCGGTGTGGTTGTCGAGAAGGGCTCTGGTTCTGTCAACGTCACTGCCCCAATCGTCATCTCCAGCACAAGTGGGTTTATGTGCATTTGCTCCTCCATTTTGTGTTGAGATAACATTTTGCTTTGTATAACATCATCTTGTGTATTGAAGCTGGGAAATATGGGAAAAGTGTGAATACAACTGCTGACACCATCAGTGGATATGACATCATGGATGTTTTTAATATATAAGCTGTGGAAAGAGGGGAGGGTGACTGGAGACCTGGAGAGATTTTCAACTGCAAAGTTTCCCATCTATTTTCAAACCTAATTGAAAATTGATGATGCACCAAGGGATAGATACTTCTCACTACAGGTCATTCAGGGAAGGATTGCATTAATCCCCAACACTTCTGCTGGTTCTAGGCAGCTAATTCAGAGAATCCTCTATATTTCTATCTTAAGCTCTTCAGTTCAGTCTTGCATGATTCCATAAAATCTAGTAAGATTCTGTCACCTGTATACACAGTTTGTAATTGCAATTTTGACCCTCACACAGAAAGAAAGTCTGTCTAGAATTGAAGATGTTTTTGTTGAATTCATCTGAGCTTCCTGCAAATGACATTGTGTAGTCCTTAACAATGAGGCAGAAGCAAGTTGTGCTTTTGCCAAAAAATTCTTCCAATTGAGGATATTGCTTCAAAAGTTACTTGATGCATTCATTCAGGAGTACTTAAAGTAAACTGATGATACTTTTCTTCATTTCTTCATTCCAAGAATAAAAATAATTTTAAATGGTTCATAGTTTTTCCTTTACATGGTCTTGGTCCCACCATTTCATATAAATTGTTAAGAATGTTGAAATTCCATGAACCAGAGAGGGTAGAACAAGGGCTCTTCTATTTGTTGCCTGTAAAAAGAAATGACAATTTCCTGAGTTTACATGGAAAATAGGGCCTTCTTACTCCTCAGATTTGAAGTGGTCAAGGCCCCGAGATGTGGGAGAAGTGGGCCACCTTGCACCCACTACCTATATCAGCTTTTTGCAAATTTATTCTTGGTAAAGATTGAATCTACCATTGCATGGCAATTTTGCATCATGTCCAAAATGAAGCATTATATCATGATTCATTAGGATTTCCTCAGAATCAAGAATATTTGATGTTTTACATTGAATTCTGTTCAAAGCCATATTTTCAAGATCCTTGAGCCCTTATGAATTTTTCCCAATGAATCTGTGAATGGGATGCCTATAGGAATGGATTCATCGAAAGCAAATCCAGGAATAAGTGATGCCACTCAAAATTGCCGTTTTTTGGCCTCTGAATCATAGGTGTGAAGACGACTCTGACGAAGCTCTTGCCGGAAAAAGTCGGAAAGCATGCGATCCAGTACCCAGTGTTGTCACGAGTGAGGCAGGGCTATGCCTGCTTCCAAGTCTTTCTTGGCCTCAATGCATCCAATGAGGAGCTCAAACTGTCTGCACAAAACTATTGGTGTTTCATGGACAACAACCGTGAGGAGGCAAGTGTACAGGTCTTGGTTTTTTGAAGCTGACAGGTGAGAACAAGATGCATATAGTCATATTTTCCCTAATCAGCTTTGTCTGGAGTATAATCGGAAGACCGCCGAGGAGGCCCTGGATGCTGATGTCCCTCTCATGTTTGTCTCTTTCCCCTCCTCTAAGGACCCGACTCACAACCAGAGATATCCAGGTAAGCACTGCACAGTCATGTGATATCCCATAATATTTAAAAAATAAATTCTGGGAGAAATGATAGGAATGCATTCACATCATTACCAAAGAGCTGCTGAATACATCTGTGCCTTCTTGAATTTGGAATAAAGTTTTAGGTTTTCAAAGCAAAAGTTAAAGCAATTGTAAAGTTTTTTTTATATTAAGACATCATATATTCATTTTAAAAGCTTAAGTTGAGTCAGTTTCACAGCCTGGAAATAAAAGTTCACTGAGGCTCTCCTGCCAGGAATGAGTGAACCTCTCACATTGTAGCTGATGGGACACTTCACTGCACCCCACTATTCCTCTGGTTTTAGGTATTATTATATGAACTGGTCTAAGGAGCTTGAAATCCCATCCTCAAAGATCCGTTCCGTTGTACGCGGTATTAGTGGGAGGAGCTTATGCTTACCAAAGTGAGTACCCTTTTTCTTTTGAACTTAGTAGCCCCACTGGCAATGCTCCTCTAGTTCTTCTGGTAGCCGGTGCGGCTCATCGACCAAGCGTGCAAGCTCTTCCCACAAATTCAGGTGAGTTGGTGCGAGTTCTGTCACTAATGACTACATGTTTCCAAATGGCTAAAATGCTCTGATGACCTTCCAGGACAAGATTGACCTCGTCGTAATTGGATCCCCTCTGAGCCACAACTATTACCTGGGAAACACAGTGGGAGACATTTATGGCCTTCATCACAACTTGGAACGATTCAAACTCGAAATTCAAGCCCTGCTCCGTCCTGAAACTGGCATCCCAGGTATGAGTACATGGGGTCTTTTTATTGCCATCAATATGTAATACATCACAGGTGAATACACATACACCATTTATGTCTGTGAAGGTCACCAAAGGATTTCTTGCATCGAACCAAAGAGAAAGACTGAGTCCTTTTTTATTCTTCCTTTTATATCAGGACTGCTCAATAATGAGAAACTTTTTGTTGAGCAAAACTGACTCAGATCAGCTAAGAATTTCAGGTGAAAATCCATGATTTTAAGTTTTGACAGTCTAAAAATTCATGATAATTTGGGTTTAAATTTGAGGAATATTCAAAGTCTAAGAAACTTTCATCCCTGGAAAGTTTTCTTCCATTGTTTTATGATAGTTGAGCATGTGCTTTTGTCTGCCCAAATTGACTATTTATGGCTTTCCTTTGTAACCAGGGTTTTGCTCTTGCTTGCAATCTTTGAAGTTGATGTTTAGTTCTGTCCTCACAGATCTCCTTAATGTCTTCACAACTTGACTTGCGCCAGATATTTAGCAGTGAATTTTCTTTCCTTCAACATGCACAGTTTCAAATCCCAGTTGCTGAATGGTGTAAGATCTTTGTCCAGTCACTGCCAGGTTTCCCATTCACTGAATTTTTGTGGTAGACTTATTCATAATTCTTTGTATCCCTGAAGATGCTACCACTACCCTTTGGCTTTAAATTTCATGGCTACCTGTTTCCGCACGACACCAATTTCTACATGATACGAATGCAACCTTGCCCTTGACACTGAGATGCCTATTTGCCCACCTGGGCACAGAAGTTCTTAAAAGGGGTCAATCACATTGACTGGTTTTTGCACGTCATCAGGTTTTAAAAAATCCAAAGGACAAGGTCGTAATTAGAGGAGAATGAGAAAACCTTTCTGACTGTCAGTTTCCCATAATTTTGTAAGTATATGTGAGCTGCATATGTTTTCTGCTGGTGTTGAGCAAAGTCTTTCCTTCCTTTCTAGGCCTGTATCTGTCAGGACAAGATGTCATGTGCTGTGGCATGGCCGGAGCGGTGTTCGGCGGAGTCTTCTGCGCGTCCAAGATCCTCGAGCGCAACCTCGTGAACGAGCTGGCACAAGTCATGAAGGAGGCCAAGAAGCGAGAGGAAGGAAAGTCGCAGAAGACCCGTGTCTCCAAAGGGGAAAGGAATGGAGCAGTCATGAACGGAGTCCACGGTTGATGGGGGCCGATGCCCGTCGTGTGAATGCCTGTTCTCGCACTAAAGTTTGTAATGTCTTCGGTCAAAAATAATTTTTTGCTCATCGTCACAGGTTCTTTTGTATGAGAGCATTCATAAGCTCTCCCGATATTATTTGCGTATCTGAATATATTTTTCGTGATATTTCATCACCTTTAATTGGGAAACTAATTGGTTGTCATGGTTTGGATTGAGTGGAAAATTTCTGCATGGATCATCTTCCTCAGCACAATAATCTCTAGATTGAATTAATGAATGAAATATTTGTAAATTAATTTAAAACCGTTTTCAGTCTCTGTTTCCAATTGAGCATTGTTTGAGCAACAGTGGTGACAACCCTTTTGCCTGCTCTCTTGTATTGCATCGTTTATTTCAAATTGGCTTTCAGATGTTTTGCTATGGTGCTTTAATTTTGTGAAATGAAATAACCTGCTATCCCACTGACAGCTTTTTTCATATTTGGAATTACACGAAACGATGTCTTGTTGCAGTTGGTCGGCGAACCTTTATATATACCGAATATACATGGTGAGCCAATAAAAATATTGGGCTTTCTTTGACGCTCGACAGTGTAGTTTCTCGAGAATTTGAGAAAATTGCAATAGGAAAATTACTATAGAATAGGGTGACCATATTTTTTTAAAAGGAAAATCCGAGACATTTTCCCTCCGTTTACGGTTGACAATAGGCCGATGAGCTGCTTGTTACAAATAAGTGGCACTGAAAGGAAATTAGCGACCTATCAAAAGGCTCGTCCCGTCATGGAGTAAACCAGGGGCTGTTCCAGAGAAAACGGCCTGTCCCGGTTTTACCGGGACGATCTGGTCACCCTACCATAGAACCTTTACCTAGCCGCAGGGCCATATCTAGTATTTCATTTCGGGGCGGGGGGGTTGAGGTCTGGCGTACGCGCTGTGGCTTTTTTTTAATATTTGTCATTCTAAGTCTTTGTGACATATCTACATTTTCCTGTAAGTTGCAGTTTTTAAGAAGTCATAAACTATTAAAGATAGAAAAGACCAAGTACTGCACCGTTTACAACGACGAATAGCAGTATGGCAAACATTTAAGGAAGGTATTTCGGGGGGGGGGGGGTGAGGTTGAGGTTGAAGAAAGGTAAAATCTTTGAAAATTGGTTTTCACATTCCTACATAATCCTGTTTATGAACAAGTTTTACGTAGGGTATGGTCAAAGCCCTACTTGGAATTTTTTTTTTTCACATTTGGAGGCCTACGTGCAGTGGCGTAGCCAGGATTTCCCCAATGGGGCTTACATATGCTCGCCGAGAAGGGGGGAAGGGGGGGGGGGGGGGGGGGGGGGCTTGAACCAAACTTGGGGGATTAAATCCCCCCCCCCCCGCCCCCTCTCGCGACGCCACTGCCCACATGTACGAAGAAAACAAATTTATTCTCTCTGGAAGAGTTCACCGTCAGGCTACTGAAATGAGGGAAGAGGGTCATTCAGATACTCCATGACCTGGAAAGTCGTTCATTTTATAAACTGAAGGAAGAATCTTGAGATGGGTCAGCCCTTCTCACGATGCCGGAACGAGCAGGGATGCCGGAACGAGCAGGGATGTTGGATTGAGCAGGGATGCCGGAACGAGCAGGGATGTTGGATTGAGCAGGAATGCGTCCCGACCTTAGCCTTGGACCTTGAACGACAGAGCACTCTGTCTTATCAGTTTGACTCGAGAGCGTCTGCATTCCACAATGAGGCCGTTTATTTTCCGTCATGAGATGAAACAGAATATGTTGAATGAGTCTGCAGATTCTCTAAGCACATCTTTTACGTGTGCAATCTCGCAGATTTCCTCCTCGACTCTTCGTGTTCTCATTCTCGAGAAAGGGTCATCCCGTCTGGCCTTGGACTCCTTGCGAATAATTCGCGCAGAGGAAGTCACGAACGCATGAGGAATCGAGAAAATGTTGCATTCAGCGATGAGCCTTTAAGCAAGAATCTGTCAAAATGACAAATTCATTCTTTTTTTTTAAAGACAAATAAAAATGGGTATTTAAGTCACGATTCCCTTGCTTTTCCCTGTCTCTCCCTTGCGCAAGAGTGATAGGAAACTAGCATGTGGATGAGAGAACAGCGGAAAAAAATGTGTGTCCTCTGATAAGAGATGATAGCCCAAAGACAGATAAGTAAGGTCTCAGTCTGTTCACGCGCTCTCATCGAAAACCCCTCGTGTTTCCGTCTCCGTCCGCGCCTGCGCGCACGCCCGAGTGCACGGCACTCGCGAGCAGACGAATGGGTTCACGGTCGCTGCCTCGATTGACGGCCTCCGCAGTGCTCGCTCAGTCGCAGTGATGCGGGGTCTCGCTGTGTCTCTTATGTGATGCAAGGAATCCAGATTCGGCAGTTGTTCACCCTTCGACTGCCGGAACGTGGACGATCGAACGTTTAACACTTTTGTTTCATCTCTTCATTCTCAAAGGATCTCTTCAAAATACTTTACTTAATGACTATACTAATGACTACCTAATGACTATACTAATGACTTTACCTAATGACTAAGTATCGGACTTTACAAGTTTGCCGCGCAGCTTTCACAAATGACTGACTTTTTCGTATCAATCGGACCCAGAATGGTTGTTATCGGATCTTATTTTTCACCGGGAATACGCTTTTTTTTTTATTATAATAGATTTTGAAGTCGCGAGAGGGAAGGAATGCTGAGCTTGTGGTCCTTAACCCTGGGTGGGCTGGTCATCCTCCTCTTCAAGTTCTTGCAGTCGCTCCTTTTCAGAAAGAAGAGGTCCGACCGGCCGATATTCTCGTTGGCCGACGTCCTCCCCCCGGCCCCTCACGTGGCCGACCAGAAACTCAGGGACAAGGTCCTCAAGCAAGGTACNCCCTTCAGTGAAGGTTTCTCTCCCGTTTTCACTGGTTTCACTCCAGTTTCACAGTTTTCGCTTCCCTTCTCATCGGCTTATCAGGAGACGGAAGTTTTTTTCACGTTCTGCCGTCTGAGTCGCTGCTGGTTCGGATTCTCTTCTCTTTCACTTGCAGCAAGGAAGAGTTATCCGGGTCCTAGAAAGAATACGTATATTATAATGAATTTATTATTTAGCCATTGCAATAATTGCATCCCGATATCAGGTATGGTATTGACAGATTGTTCAAATCTTGTATTGATGTCATTGAGATTACTCAAGTCTTTTCATTATAGCATAACAGCACAAATACACTCCAAAATCTCCATAAATATTCCTCGGGAACAAGTGAGGAGGCCCATAGTTGACTTCAGCGCCATCTCAGGGTCATTTAAATGTCTGAATAAGGGAATATTTCGTGGATGATTATCTCATTAAATGGGATCCTCGTGCGATATTTCAAGACTCCGTGTCGCGTTAGACATCTCTTTCGCGGTATTGAGGAGCATTCGACGGAAGATGCCGTTATGATGCCTTTAAGATCTTGGGACGAGTCATCCTCTTCGACATCCCTGGGATATCCTCTTCGACATCCCTGGGATGTCGAAGTGCTTTGCGGGGAAGTTCAAAATGACAGGAGAGTATTGTACTGATCTAATAAGGGACGGTGGATGCAAGGGTGATCCTGGAGAAATCTTGGATCTTGGAGAATATTAGCTCATCAGTTTCATTAGCATTCTGAGGGATCGCGAGGTTTTTTTTTTTTTAGGTGGAACTTTCTTTCATCCATGAATATGAGGACAGCTTCAGGAAGCGGCGCCTCCATCTTAACGATTTCCTAGAATTTAGGGTAGCGGAAGAGACGGATGAAACGAACACCAGCGACACGCGCTAGACCGATTGCCAATTGAATTTGCCAATTTCGAGTCGAACTGGCGCCCCAATCAATACTACGAGCATTTCGATGCGCTAGGTTTCAGCATTTCCTCTGCCCGATATCGAGCAAAATTCTTGGTGAAAATTCTTCAGAGCCCCATTCCCGACGAGCCAACGACATTCCCATGGCCATTCCTCGTTGCTCATTCCGACTGGAAGCGACTCGCGACTCCCATTGTGTCGTCGGACAAAGCAACCATTGTGCTGAGAAACCAAGGAATGGTCGCAAACGAATCGGGCTGCACGTGCGAAATCGCACCGATAAGTGGTCTCATTTCTCCTCAGTGAAAAGATTTATCATTGAAGAAGTAGCGCATTTCTCAACCGGTATAGTATATATAAAACTCTGCAGCTGATAGCGAATCTATAAGGATTTCGAAGTGCGTTAAACTATTTTTAGGTAATAAAAAAAGAAATACGGCCAAAAAAGCATAAAATCGTAAAATCACAATTTTAATCGAATTATCTTCTATATTTGCTTCTTTGGCATTCACTTGACGTTGTCATCCTCATTCAGCAAATACTTTTCAAGTCGTTCAGTCCTGAGGGTCTGGCCGTAGCACCGTGGGGAATGGCTCGATAATTGACCATCTATTATTATTAATAGATGGTATTTGGTAAATTGAGGCAATCGGGTAGGGTAATTTTCCTAAAACATAAACGGCTCGATATTGCAATTCGAGAAGTCTCGCACGTCTTGGGGAAAGCTAGGAAAAAAAAACAAGTACTTAGTACTCAGTACTGAGTACTTTTATTCGGAATTTCCCACTTTGATCAGGAATTTTAGAGTTTCTTTTTTTTTTTCCCCGGGTGAAATTTGTTTTCTTCATCGATAGATTTGGTCTCGGAGAATCGGTGAAAAAAAAAATGATAATCAATATTTTATTCACGATCATATTAATCGTAGACATTCGTGTTCATCAGTTTGTAAGTACCAAAATAAATATTGTAAGAAGGTGAGGGTCGTGATTGGTGCAGCCGATGTGCAAAATTCCATGTGTGCAAATGACTCTGCTATTGATACATAAAAAAATTTATTTAGTATATTTATAGAATACATATTATAAAACAATGTAAAACGATTAAAATATGAAAGTATATTAAAGAGGAAATAAAATCGACTTGCGCTCGTTTTCTATAAAAGTAACAGAATTGACAATGAAGTCATATTGGTACATTCTAGGCCTCACCGATGCGAAATGACAGACAGGAGATACTGTTGCAGATGTATTAGCAGATTTTTTTGCACATTTTTCACGAGGAAGTAAGGAAAAGAGGCGGGAAGTCCTCGAGAGAGGTAGACCGACGCCAGCTCTTAAATGGGACGAGACCTCAAGGGGGGAGGGGGGGGGGGTTCGCCGAGGGTTCCGACACTGGTTACACTTGAATTTTGTCGCGTCTGAATCCAGTAGCATAGCAGAAGTCGCATTTCTTGGAGGGTCGATGAATCGAGGTGCTTCGTGCTCGAGGTGGAGCGAGTCGGCCGATTAGGTTCTGGTTGATTCGATCTTATTTTTTTCAGAGGTATTATTAGATTTTGAAGACGCGAGTGGGAGGGATGCTGGATTCGTGGTCGTTGGCCCTGGGTGGGCTGGTCCTCATTCTCTTCAAGATCTTGCAGTCGCTCCTTTTCAGAAAGAAGAGGTCCGACCGGCCGATATTCTCGTTGGCCGACGTCCGACCCCCGGCCCCTCACGTGGCCGACCAGAAACTCAGGGACAAGGTCCTCAAGCAAGGTACGCCTGCATCGTTCGTTCTCGCGTGGCGACGCCTCTCGTGATGTCCCTTGTGATATTTCTCGTCGTCTGTCAGGTTTCTCCTCGGAAAAAGTACCCCGTGACCTCGATGCGATCGTGATCGGGAGTGGGATCGGGGGATTATCTGCAGCCGCTCTCCTCGCCAAGGCCGGGAAGAAAGTTCTCGTCCTCGAACAACACGATCAGGTTCCTGGCTGTCTTGGAGATCACCATGATGTTAATTTTGCTAATTTTGATCATTTGGGGACTCGTCAGGGGAGGCAAGGGAAGCCCGGCCTCCTCACAAAAATTCCTAGGAGGCACTTTCCCATCCAACTTGGAAGTATCCATTAAGATGTGAAATACTTTAGAGAAAAATGTGAAAACCATTGGGAGGCCGGAACCCGCAGGCTTCCCCTGACCCATGGACGATGCATAGGCGTGTCGCTGGCACGCCTCGTGTAGAGTGCTGCTCGGCCGTCGGAATTCGCGCTGACAATTCGTGTCCGCGCAGTTGGTAAGGACGGAAAGTCGGAGGATATCGGCACGATCGTGGTATTCGCTAGGTGAGCTAGATGCGATTTTGTCTTAGCGGGTTTCAGACGTTCTGCTCGGTTTGAAAATTCTTCGCGGAGTTAGGGTGGTTTTTAAATTTAAGAGAACTCTTATTTAAAGAGAACTATTGGGTAATGCTTGTTTATTTCCAGGAAATATCGCATATTTTCCCTGGAATAAAGCTGCATCATCGGATAGTTCTCTGTTCAAAAATCCACTCTTAGTCTCAATTTTAATATCCCTTCGGGTACACCCTTTGATAGCACGTAGAAAAAAAAATTTAATCGACAAAAATGATGACATATTGTGTATCGCAGCAGGAAGTGCCTTGGGAAATAGAACTTTTTCATCTCTTTCCTGCTGCTGTTAAAATGACCCTGTTTTTTTTTCGGGTTGAGCTTCTTGACGGCACCCAGCGCTAACGCCTCGTCTGATGTAATGGCTTGGTTTTTGCATGCGAAATGAGCTGAAGTTGGGGAAACATGTTGGGGAATATGGCTGGAAACATGTCGTCCAGGTTTTTTTTTTGTCGTTTCGGCCGAGATTGCCCGCTTCTTTCGTTTCTTCCTCGCTCCGTGTTTCCTTCCTCACTTAATGCTTAATGTTCCCGCCCGTTTGAGGTTTCGCGACCCACGAAAGTCGGCTCATCTCGATTTTGTATCTTCTCCGTGTTGGTGTGCCAGAATTCGAAG